TTGTGATGGTGGTGTGCTGTCGAGTTGGTTCCGACTCATTGGGACCCTGTACAGGGTTTCTGAGGCTGTAAATCTTTATGGGAGCAGAAAGCTTCATCTTTCTCCCTTGGAACAGCTGGTAGTTTTGAACTGCTGACCTTGTGGTTAACAGCCCGATTCGTAACCACTACGCTACTAGAGCTCCTTCTCTTAGCCTTGGGATGTCTGAAAGCTAAATTCTTACTTTTTTCTTGGTGATGTTATCAAATGCCATGACTTTAAATACCATCTATATACTGACAACTCCTAAATTGCTATTTGTAGTTCAGGCTTCTCTTTCCAAACTCCTAATTGTATATCAAACTGCATACTTGCTATCTCCCTTGGAGGTCCAATTGACATCTTAGTCTTAGATTGTCCAACACAGGACTTCAGATATTCTCTCCAAACCTATTCCACCCATAGCTTATTCCATTTTAGTGATTGACAACTCCATCTTTTTCATGCTAGGCCAAAGCCCTTGGCTTCAGCTTTCATCCCTTTATAGTTCACGTTCAATCAAAGCTTTATTTTAAAAATGTATCAAGCATTTGATCACTTCTCACCACTTCCACTGCTACTACCATGGTAAAGCCAACATTATCTCTCACCAGATTGTTTCAGTAGCCTCTAATTGACCTCCCTGTACCCACTCTTGACCACTCCCTAATTCCTCTCCTCAATTTTTTCTAAACACAGCTGTTAGAGTGAACCTTTTGAGATATAAGTTAGGTCAGATTCCACTCAGTCGCTTCATATTACACTTAGGCTAACAGCTTAAGTGCTTCAAACAACCCAGAAGTCACAGTTATTTAGTCTCCTGGGAACTTCTTTGATGTGACTTCATTTCCCATAGTTGTCTCTAGTCCAACTCCACTGTAGCCACCTGGTTTTCCTGATGTTCTTTGCCTATGCCAAGCATGCTTTTGCCTTAGGGCCTTTGTATTGACTGGTCCTTTAGCCTGGAATCTCCTGGCTTAATTGTCACCTTCTGACTAAAACCTCTGTCAACCATCTTTATACTTGCAACCAACCCATCCCTATCCCTACTCAGTGGTCCTCATCACCCTTATTTTGCTACATAATCTTCCTATTGCACTTCTCACCTCTAATATACTACAGTAAAACCTGTGTAAGGTGGAAACCTGTTAAAAAAGGAAACATATTTTCTACTAAATGGTAGGAAAGTGGTGAGACTGCACCCTGTCAGAGACCCGGAAAAACGAGGTAGTCCTGTTGAGTTTGAGCTCTCACAGATTTCACTGTATGTACTGTTTTAATTTACTCAAATGTAAGCTCCACGAGGACAGATTCGTTGTTTGGTCCACTGATACATCTCAAGAGCCTAGAACAGTGCCTGACACATGATAGGAGTTTAATATATATTTGTTGAATAAAAGAATGAATCATGGATTCTCTTATTTGGGGCAGTGATGGGATCAAAGTACCCCAGAGTAGTGACTCTTCATCCCCCACCCTGTCTTGACAGAGGCTTTAAATGATAATGTTATTTGAGGAGTGATGATAATTATGGTTACTGTTTAGAGAGCATATGTACTGTACTAGCTTCTTTATGTACATCTCTCTTTTAATGTCAATAATGCTGTCAGATAGTTATTGTCTCCATTTTACAGATGAGCAAAACTACAACTCTAAAAGCTGGCATTTCAGAGGTTGTCTGACTAATAAGTGGCCGAGTCATATGCTCCTCTCCAACTCCATATGGAACCCGAATCCCTGTCATAGTGGGAGCTTGGCTATTTCTTCATCAGTTACCTTGTCTCAGTTTGCCCCAATTACTGAATCTGCTCCCAATCACCTTGTCTTTAGGGACAGTCATCCACTTGTTCAGGGCCATTCGGAGGCTCACCAGAGTCTCTGTTCTTCGAGCTTCGTTTTGCCCTTTCAGCTGGTGCATTAGAACTTGGATCACATGCTTACTCAGGCCACCTGGACAGGGAGGGTCCTCAGGTCAGATCAGGGCAGAGCCTTGGGCTACTCTTCTCTGCAAGGCCCCATTTGACTGCATTGAGCCTTCAATTCCGAGTGCTGGGTCCCAAGGTGCTGCCCATCTTCCCAGGGTGCTGGAGCAGCAGATTGGGGACTACCACAATTTCCGGAGCCTTCCTTCTTCACCCAGTACAATCTCTCTTTTCTTTTCACCTTACCTTTCTTCCTCTGCACAACAGTAGAAGGATAACTCCCAGACCCTGCTAACCTCTTGGTTCCAGTGGGTGTACATTCTATTTCCTTTTGTTCTTACACAAATGAGTACTGGCTGCACTTTGACCTTTCTCATCTACCTCCACTCCACCCCAGAGAAGACATACTCACCCAGGAGAGCCAGGCTTTGACAGGCCTTGAACTTCAATTTCTCTGGACCAGTTTTGGCCTGGTTTAGAAAGCAGGTGGAAGCATATCAGAGGCTTAGGGATCATCTCAGACTATCTTTTTCATATGATGTTGTTGTTGTCGAGTCGGTTCCGACCCATAGCGACCCTGAACAGGGTTTCCGAGGGTGTAAATCTTTACAGGAGTAGAAAGCCTCATCTTTGGAGATTGAGGCCGAAAGAGTGACTTATCTATGCTCAAACAGAGTAAAGGCAGGATGGTATCGTGGAATCAGACTTCTGTCCAAATCTCTATATCTGATATCTAGCAGCCATTTGGAGTCCTGGTATGGTGCACTGGACTGCAAGATTCACTGTTCAAACCCACTAGCTGCACCTTGGAAACCCTATATAGGGTCGCTTTGAGTCAGAACTGACTCAATGGCACTTAGCCACAACAAGTAGCCACTTGACCTTGGCAAATCACTTGGCCTTTCAAAGCTTCCCTTTTCTCATTAGAAAAGTGCAGATACTAGTTCCTGTTTCTAGCATTCTTGGGAGATTTAAATGAGATTATGGATAAGGATGCATGTTCCCAGTTGCAAATTAGCATAGAAACATGTGGCAGTGTTTCAGTCCAAGGTAGAAAATGAACTCAGCTTCAGTTCTTTCCTGAATTTAAATCCAACCTTTTCTATTAGGCCAATGGGATCTTCAGATTTCTCTCCTTTCCCATCCTTAGTATCAAGCTGCTCTTGGAAGATCCTGCTCTAGGTCTGACCTAGCATCCTTGCAGCTCCTGGGAGCCCGGCCAGTCTGTGTCCATGTACTTATTCTCTGCATCCTCACACCCTGTTTCTTCTTTCCCTGAACTCCATGCAGCTCCAGACTTACCACTTCCCGTAGTGTCTCCATGATAAATGTGTCACTGATGCCCAGGCACCCCAGAGCCTGTAAGAACAGGGGTGAAGGGAAGGAAGAGATGTTGGATACCATCCCATGAGTTACTGCCCTCTGACATAGCTGGAATTTGTACTTTGAACACCATCCCACCACCACAGCCTCAAATGCTTTTTTTACACTCCAGCTCGGCCAACTTCTATCTGTAACTGCCCTCCTCTACCCAGATCACTTCTCGCCTGAGCTGCGTAGAGTTGCTCTTCCTCTCTGGGGGATTTCAGACTTTGTGTGAGGTCCTGCCCATCCAAGGCAGTCAGCGGAAAGGAATAAAGGGATAAATATACAAGTTCAAGATGCCTCCCTCAACTCCTCCTCCACTGTTCAGGCCCAGATTGAGGGCTGAAAGACAACATAAACCCAAGGTCAGGGCACCCACAGGGAGGGAGCCCCTCCCCTCCCCCCATTAAGGTCCCTGACCTTTAATCTTTGCCACTTCAGGGGATCCGAGGTAGGCCCTAAGGGCTTGGATTCTACTTGCGCTTTTAAAGTCAACTTATTCATGGGGAGATAGAGCTTTTGGAGGTGAACACTCCCTTTGAGGGACCTGCATGAGAAAAGCACAGTCTTGGTTCCCATGCTGCATCCCCTCCTAGGTCACAACCCCTCTTCATCACAGTCTTCAGCCTAGCACAGGGACATCGACAATGACATCCACCCAAATCAAGATTCACTTATCCCAGTGTTCTGTTTGGGATCTGTAGATTGACTTGCCCGCTTCCCCTCCTTCCTAGAAGGTGTGGAAGTGTGGAGGACGTGGGGCAGGCCGAGCACACCTCGGGTTATTGCTAGATGTCTGCAGTATCTTCTGGGCCTTCGGTTCCTCTTGCTGATCAGATAGAGTGTGCCAGTGCGAGTGGCCTTCAGGCCTCGGGAAGCGGCGGTAAGACACTGATGGTGACCTGTTCTGGCAGCTTCTCCAGCGCTCTGGACCAGGAGGGAACTCCTCCTTTGGCATCTGGGGGCATGAGTGGCAGAGCAGTTACAGAACGTATCTCTCAGCCAGGATCTCTTCAGCCTTTACATGATGGCTGGGTATAGGAATTGTGGGGGGTGGGGGTGATGAGAGGCCCTTTAGACTCTCATTTGGGCTGGACTCACAGCTATCTGCTAGCCCACTGTGTGACTTGGACAAATTACTTCACCCCATCAAGATCTCAGTCTTCTCATCTGCAGAACACAGCCAATCCTTGCCTATACTCCTTCCAAGGATTGTGTGTGAAGATCAAAAGAGATCAAGATTGTGGAACTATTGGTGATACATGAAGCAATCTGGTACAAAGTTTGGTTAATTGAAGATTTCAAAACCCCATGAAAAGGTCATCTGGGCAGGGAGATGAAAAGGTGAAATGTGGAGCTAAGATGGGGAAAAGACAGGCTACTTATTCATTTAGGAATCAGCAAATATTTATGGAGTATTTACTATGTGCCCCAAAGGAGTCATGGTAGTGAAGGGGTGAAGTACTCTGCTGCTAACAAGAAGGTTGGAAGATGTGGCAGTTTGCTTCTGTCAAGATTCCCAACCTTGGAAACCCTATGAGGCCATCATCCTATCCTGTCCTATAGGGTCACTGAGTCAGAATTGAGTTGATGGAACTAGGCTGAATTTTTTTTTTTCCAAAAATGAGGAGGGTGCCTGGTTACAATTAAATTTCAGATGATGAATGTAAAATTTGGGATCTACTTATACTAAAAAATTATTCATTGTTTAGCTGAAATTCGAAGTCAACTGGGCATCCTGTATTTTATCTGGCAACCCTATAGGATTCCTGTGCTAACTAATAAGCATGACATATATAGCTCAGGCCTGACGGGAGTTCTCTCACGGCACCCCACAAAGTCAGGAGTTAGTCTGTGACAGAGGAATCTCAGAGAGGAAGAGTGACTCCTCCCAGGTCACCCAGTGACATCTCCAGAGGGGATACTGTGAGCTCACCTTAACAGGAGGGGACAGATTGCTGTCCCTCGAACTTTGACGAGCTTCCAAGAGTGGCAAACATTAGGGATCTTACCTGGTAGCAGGACAAGGGTAGGTGAACAAGAGCTGTGCCTTTTCTGAATTCTAAAAAGAAGGATAAGAGGGTGTGAGAGAGCAATTGCAAAGGTGGGTTAAAGATTCACTTATCCAGACGTTCATTTATTCATCATTTAGTGAACAGTAATGCCAGGAATTCCACCAGGCACCAGGGAGGTAAGGGAGGCACAGTTCCTGCCCTTAGGGTCTCCTAGTCTTCTAGTACTTTGCTGTTTAATATGTGGTCCATGGAATAGCAGCCCATCAGCAGATATGGGAAAGTCTCAGAAATGCAGACTCTCAGATTGCATACTCAACCCACTGCCATTGAGAACTTTCCAGCCCATAGTGACCCTATCTGTAGAACAGAGTACAACTACACCCCCATGAGGTTTCCAATTCTTTACGGAAGCAGATTCACATAACTTTCTCCTGTGAAGCAGCTGGTGGATTCAAGTGGCCAACTTTTCTTTTTTTCCCCTTCTTTACTTCCCCCATTTTTTAAATTTGCCGGCAATTTCCCAAGGGTTTCTCCTAATGAGAAAATAAGTATACATTGCTTCCTTTCCAATATGGGGGGTAGGGAGGGGTGGGGAAGAAAGAAAGAAAAGAAATTCCTTGTTTTTCCTTTCTTCTTTTTTCCTTCCTTTTCTTTTTAACCGACTCTCCCATCCCCCAAGTTAGCACGTGTCTATACTCTGCCCAGTGAATAATTCTCCCTTCCCTCCCACACCTGGTAACCATCACTGACTTTTTACTATAGAATGAAAACCTTTTCTTGAGTGTCTACAGTAGTGATCTCATACAATATCTGTTCCTTTGTGACCAACTAATTTCACTCAGCATAATGTCCACCAGAAGGAGCTCTGGTAGCATAGTGGTTACGAATCGGGCTACTAACCTCAAGGTCGGCAGTTCGAAACTACTAGTGGTTCTGCGGGAGAAATATGAGGCGGTCTGCTCCCGTAAAGATTTACAGCCTTGGAAACCCTGTGTAAGGTCACTATGAGTCGAAGTCGACTCCACGGTACTTAACAACAACAACAATGTCCACCAGATCCCTCCATGTTATGTGGTGTTTTGCAGATTCATTGTTCTTCAGTGTTGCATAATATTCCACTGTGTATGCACCAAAGTTTGCTCAACCATTCCTCTGCCGATGGGCATCTAGGCTATCTGCATGTTTTCGCTATCGTGGATAGTATTTGCAATGAACATGGGTATGCCAATATCTATTTCTGTCACAGTTCTGATTTCTTATGGCACTGTGGGTTAACGTGCTGGATTGCAAAGTTAGTTTGAACTTCAAGGTCGGTGGTTCAATCTCACCAGCCGCTCCTCAGATACTCTATACAGGGTCTCTGAGTCAGAGCCAACTCGACGGCACTTAACAACAACAACAACAATATACCATGTAGATTGCTGGGCCATACAGCACATCTATTTGCAACCTTCTGAGAAAGTTACATACCATTTTCCACATCAGTTACATCATTTTACTACCAGCAGTGTAGTACTCTTCACACCCTCTTCAGCATTTGTTTTTTTTTTTTGTATTTTTGAACTTGGCTATTAATGCTGGGGTAACATGATATTCATTGTTGGTTTTTTAAAAAATGTTTTATTGTGAATTATGTGATAGTTTACATGGGAGAACATCAGTCTTACATTCATTCTATCGTATATTGTCTCATTGCCATGGTTACAATCCCCTCCATGCAATCCTTCCCCTGTACCCCCCAGATCTTCAGCACACAGTCGCTCTCCCTCTCTGGATCTAAAGTCTCCAGCTGCTCCATCGCTCCACATCATCATCTCTAGCTCCATTTCAGGCATCACTGCTTCTCTGGGTAGGGTCCCGCTCTCTGCTCTTCTCTCTTGATGGTCCTAGGGACCTCCGCTCCTAGACTGAAAAGTTAATCACTCCCTTCCTTGCTATAAAATGTCTACCTTTACATTTCCAACCCTCACAGTCAGTGCTGATAACAATTATTCACTATTGTATCACAAGAGACCCATCTGCATTTCATTGCATCAGCCCCTCCTAGTCAGATTGAATACTACTCATTGGAGATTCTACCTTCCTCCAGGCCCTCTGGATCTAGGTTCCCTCTTGAAAGCTTGTAAGCCAGTCACTTCTTGCCTTTGTAGTCCCCCGCCCCACATTTTGGGTAGCCAATGTCCAGGTTGCCCATCCTTGTCTACTCTGTGTGTGGAGGGGGTTTCATTGTTGTTTTGATTTGCATCCCTCTACTGGTCCTGGTGTGGCGCTGTGGGTTAATGCGCCAGACTGCAAAGCCGTTTGAACTTCAAGGTCGGTGGTTCAAGCTCGCCAGCGGCTCCTCAGAAACCCTATACAGGGTCGCTATGGGTTGGAATCAACTCGATGGCACTTAACAACAACAACAATGGCTAAAGAAACCCTATACAGGGTCGCTATGGGTTGGAATCAACTCGATGGCACTTAACAACAACAACAATGGCTAAAGAAACCCTATACAGGGTCGCTATGAGTCAGAACTGATTCCAAAATGGCACACAACCACCACCACCACAATGGCTAATGATCATGAGTATTTCTTCATATTTTGCTGGCAGCTTAAATGTCTTCTTTGGTGAAATGTCTGTTCATAGCCTCTGCCCATTTTTTAATTGAGGAATTGCCAGCCTTTTGGTTAGCAATTGAGTGCTTTAATCACTGCACCACCTAACCACTGGCTCCACCCCAGACTTACTGACTCAGAAACTTCCCTTTAGTAAGATCTCCATGTGGAACCCTGAGAAACCCGAATCTTGCAGAGTGGTTCTCATCCTAGACTGTTTATTAGAATGATCTGGGAGAATTTTTAACATGTCTCATTAAATGCTGTTGAGTCAGTTCCAACTCATAGCGGCCCCCTATATAGGGTTTCTGAGGTGTAACTAGTAGGTTTGAACCACCAATCTTGTGGTTAACAGTCTAGTGCTTATTATCCTACAGTGTGCTGGCAAGCTGCTCCCATGAAAATTACAGGCTAGAAACACTATGAGGCCATTCTCTGTTACACAGGGCTCTGTTGTTATGTGCCATGCAGTCGGTTCTGACTCATAGCGACCCTGTACAGGGTTTCCGAGGCTGTAAATCTTTACGGGAGCAGAAAGCCTTATCTTTCTCCTGCGGAACAGCTGGTAGTTTCAAACTGCTGACCTTAAGGTTTCATAACCACTACGCTACCAGAGCTCCTTACACAGGGCTCTATGAGCTGAAAATTAACTTGTCTGCATCCACCAACAGGCCTTACTTAGTCTAATGGAATCAGAGTCTCTGGGGATAGAGCCTAGGCATTTAAACAAGCTTCCTGGAGGATTCTAATGAGCATCTAAGATTGAGAATCATTGGCTTACTTTAGCATTTCTACAAATTTAAGTGTAATTAGGATCACCTGGGGAGTTTGTTGAAACACAGATTTCTGGGCCCCATGCCCACAGTTCCTGATTCTGTAGATCTAGGGTGGGATCTGAGAATTAATATTTCTGGAGACTTGGGGGTCTGAGAATTCTCTGGATGACACAAAAGGTTTTCAATAGTTTATTAACTTGAAGTTTGGTGATTTGAGCCCACCCATCAGTGTCATTTGGAACTGACTCGGTGGTATTTAACACCATCAGAGCTGTGGAAAAAAGGCCTGGTAATCTCTCATTATGATTGATTATACTCAGGGAAAACCTGTGGGGCAGGACCATCAAGAAGGAAGAGCATGAGATCCTGCCTAGAAAAGCAGCGAAAGCAGAGACGGTGGCATGCAGAGAGAGAGCAACCGTGGGCTCTAGGCCCACAGAATGAGTAAGGCTGTGTGCCTGAAGGCAGGAGACTGGCTTGCAGAATATGCCCTTAGGACATTTAAAATAATATATATTTTTTGTTTAGTAAGTGTACATCAAATATGTTTGCGTTGTTCACTTGTGAAATATAAGATGTAAAAGGGAAGCCACAGGGAGGAAGTAGGATCACTGTTGTTTGTTGCAGGGAGAGATTAGATTCATTCAGATGAAACAAGGTGTAACCTGTTGAATGTAAAGCTGATGATCTTGTCTGATAACCTTCACTCAATTCACAATAAAAAGTTGAAACAACAACCTATGGGGAAATTCTATAACACGTGGGATCTCCACAAGAGGGAACTGACTCAAGCACAGTGCTGTTTGCTGGGAGGTCTGAGTAGGGAGCACATTTTGTTGTTGGTGAGATAGAAATGTTCATTAGGGATGAATGAGGGGGATAGATGTGAAGATGGATGTAAGCACGGTGTTCTACATGAGGGCACCTAACCTGGCTGAGTGGCTCAGGGAAGGTTTCCCAGGGGAGGTTATACACAAGCTGAGTCTTCAGTACAAGTAGGAGTGAGCTCCAGGCACAGGGAACAACTTATTCAAAGAGTTGGAGCAGACAGCAGGGTGCAGGTCTGGGAGGAAAAGCTGGGAGAGACTCAGGTGGGCCCTACTAAGGAGCTAAAGACTTACCTTGAGGATTGTGAGGAGCCATTGAAGTACCCAAGGGCCTGCCCTGTCCTTACCCATGGGTTTGCTGAACTCAGCCAGACCCTCTTCTGGGAATGCCAGGCAACCTTTCTCGTTCAGGCCCCTGCCTCTCCCTGGCTCTCGTCCTATCCATTCTCACCTCACCTTTAGCTCTCTCTTGATATTCCAGCCATGGGTACATGCACATTGACTTGGTGACATCGAGGACATGGGTTTTTTCACAGAACATCTTTTTCTTCCCCGGCTGGAGTAAGATGGAACTTGGGAGTTCCTGCTGGGCCTCTTTGTGGTGTGGGGGCACATCTTGGGGAGACTCCTCCATTTTGGCACAAGAGGGACCAGTGAAGTGCCCAGCTTCAGTGATAGAAGCTACCAAGTGCTGAGCAACCAGATCTCCATGGTAAATAGAACACTCAAGTTCCATTCTTGAGCCCCAGCCCTGTCAGCTACTGGGCTTTGGACTTGAGCCAATCACTTCACTTCTGTAAGCATCAGTTTTTACATCTGACAGTGGGAAAGCCATACCTGCCCGACTTAAACATGGTTCCAAACCAAACCGAACCCACTGCCACATGTCAATTCTGACTCAATGACCCTATAGGACAGAGTGGAACTGTTCCTTATGGTGTCTGAGACTGTAACTCTTTATGGGAACAGACAGCCTCATCTTTCTTCCTCGGAGTGACTGGTGGATGTGAACTGCTGATCTGTGGTTAACAGCCCAACACTTAATCCACTGTGCCACCAAGGTTCCTTGGAGGGGCTGTGGGTGAGACATAAATGTGAAAAGAAAGTCAAAGTGTATGACGAAGTGTCCAGCTTGAGTAAGTCCATGTTAGGAGCAGGGGTTGTTCCTAGGGTTCATCAAATCCTTAGGCGCAAAAGATTCCCCCCAAATGTTATGAATTCTCACCTTTTTGGTAAGAAGATGCCTTTCATAGCTCTATACATTTGCAAATGCAGTTCCCCCTACCTGTTAGGCGTTTCCCTTTTCTGCCTGTTAAAGCATTACTCAAATCTTTCAGACTCTGTTCAAATGTTACCTCATCTCTGTAGCATCTTCCCTCCACCCCAGAGGCTCCCTGCCTTCATCATCCTCCCTCTTCATCCCTCAATGTGACCACAGCCCCCTATATACCCAAATGGTTTAACCTAAATATAAATATAAGGAAACCGGTAAATCCATACTGAGAGATAGTCTACAAAATTCTGGTCTGAATGCCACCCCCCAAAAAACCCACCCCCAACATCCTGTAAGACAAAAGGATATTAAAAAGATAGGATAACTAAATTCAATGTGAGTGCTTGCTTGGATCCTGGATTTAAAAAAAAGCTGTAAAGGACATTATTAGGATAATTGGAGAATTGAATTACGGTCTGTATATTAGAGAATACTATTTTGTCATTGTTAAGTTTCCTGAGTGTATGAATGTGTTATGTTGTAGATATGTAAAGTGTCCTTGTTATTAGGAGATACATAGTGAAACTTTTAGGGGTGAAGTGGTATCATGTCGGCAACTTACTCTCAAATGGTTCAGAAAAAAAAAAATGTATGTGCCAAACTGCAAAAATGGCATGGGAGTGGCATCTGATCTCCTCGGACTTCAGTTGGGGGCAGGAGGATCAAACTCATTAGCTTCAGTCCAAGGCCAATTCCTACGAGACTGAGGTCAGATTCAATGACACCTAACAGCATTTTATTTCTCTCGATATTTCTCTATATTTTCTCTATATTTTATATAGATATATAAAAGGTTGTTAGTTGCTATGAGTAGGAACAGACTCAATGACACTTAACAACAACAAATATATATGTGTGCGTGTTGTTGTTATTAAGTGTTGTAGACTCTATTCTGACCCATAGCAACCCTGATTAGGGTTTCCAAGGAGCGTCTGGTGAGCTTGAACCGATGACCTGTGGTTCAAACCAACTTTGCAGTCCAGCGGATTATCCCACAGCACCACACTAGGACTCTGTGAACCACAAGGCTGTCAGTTCAAACCACCAGCTGCTCCTTGGAAACCCTATACAGGGTCACTATGAGTTGGAACCGACTTGATGGCACTTAACAACAACAACTATATATATAATGGTTGTGATGGTGGTGTGCTGTCGAGTTGGTTCCGACTCATTGGGACCCTGTACAGGGTTTCTGAGGCTGTAAATCTTTATGGGAGCAGAAAGCTTCCTCTTTTGCCGTTGGGACAGCTGGGAGTTTCAAACTCCTGTCCTTTAGGTTGCAGCCCGACTCTTGTGACCACTACACTACCAGGGCATATATATATATATGTGTGTGTGTGTGTGTGTCTATCTATCTACCTAATTTGTCTCAATGTCATCGAGTTGATTCCAACTCATAGTGACCCTGTATAGGGTTTCTGAGGCTATAAATCTTTCTTCTAAAGAGCTGCCGACCTTGTGATAACTTCAGTGCTTATCCTATAGCGCCACCAGGGCACCTTTCGCTCTCTATAGATGTAGATAGAGCAAACAGTAGTAAAATGTTAATAGCTGAATCTCAATGAAGGCTATGTGGTCATATTCTTGCAAATTTCTGTAGGTTTGAAATTTGTAAATTAAAGGTAGGAACCAAAATCATGGGCTTTGGCATTAAACTTGATGTTTTTATATCTTATTTGTACACCCCTCTTTTTTTTTTTTTTTCCTTTCTTGTACACCCTCTTTTTTTTCCTTTCCTGTGTGGCTTTGGACAAGTCATTTCTTTCTGTTGCCAAAGGCTTTTCAATAGAAACCGGGCTAATAATAAATTGCACCTTTCCCAAACGGTTCTGGAAACACACTGAATGCAAGAGTCAGAGCCAGTGCTTGGCACACCACAGGCTCCATCAATACTTACCTACAAAACCAAGTTGGTTTTGACTCATACTGACCCTGTATTGGGTTTTCGACCTTGTGGTTCACAGTTCAGTGCCTATCCACAGCACAATAGGAGTCCTTTATTGCTAGCTATAGTCATAACTAGAGTTCTGTTGTGGCACTGTAGAATGAACACTGTACCTCAAGGTCTGTTTGAACTTCAACGTCAACCACAACAGCATAATCATAACTGTACAACTCTTACGTCTCTCCTTAATATAAGTTTGCAAGGAGGGAGACATACGTGGGAAAGTTCAAGTATCACCTTGTGTACTCATGAAAAAACCCACAAAATATCTAATTCTTCTCATTTGAAAGAACTGAGGGGACTGGGGATTGCCCTTAAGTGCCGTTGCTGGGTTAAGGATGGTATTAAAGAAACCCACTGGGGATAAGGTTGGCTTGGGTGGAAGGGGAGCAGGATGGGTGAAGGGCCAACTGAGGTCTGATATGGAGATATGGAGATCAGAGTGTGGAGACTGCTGTTTCCTCGCGAGAGGCTAAGTCACTACTTATTTTACCTGCTCTGACCTGCCCATGTCCGCCTTCTGAGTGAGCTCATGACTACAGCCCGCAAGTCTAGGGTGGACACATGCTTTAATGCTTCTGGGGCAAGAGAGTTACTGAGATGCAAATCAAACCAGGAGCCAGTTTTGCAAATTACATTGAGAATTTTAATGATGGCGCATGTTTGCTAGTCATCCCTTCCCAATGAGGAGGCTGATGTGGGAAGTTTGGTCCCAGGATAGTCCCATAAGAGCGTAGTTTTCTACCCTTCATGGCTTTAGAGGTGTGCTATCTTTCTTCCTAATCACAGAAGCATGGCCAAGCTGAGCCTTCAGAAGCCAGAACCTCAGAGACCAGAGACTGCTTTCACAGGGCAAAGCTGCAGTAGTAGCTTTTTAAGACATTGCATGGGGGAGGCTTTTATAACTGCAGTCTTCTGGTGGAATTCCTGTTTTCCAAGGAAGGCTGGGAATAGACGATTAGAGGAACAGCTTCCTACACTGGTTAGGGCAAGAAGAAGCAGCTACAGGAAAATGTGCACAAGTTCACGTTCAAGGCATCTTCCATCCTAGCTCATCTCCAAAGAGTTGATGTACTCTTTCACCCATTTCTTCTCTGGGTTGGCACACACCTGGCGGTGCTTTCGGGTGACAAAGCTGTGGAAAAGGAGAGGAAGGGGTAAGATTTTGTCAGGGTTGGGACAACCAATTTTGGGAGATAAGGTGGATTGAGGGATAAGGGGAAATGAGTGATGCTGAAGTAAGGTATTTCGGATCTCCACAAGTAAAAAACTATTGCTACTGGGGTGCTAGTTCATACATACACAGGTGTATTCCAAGCAAAACGTGTTTAAATACATCTCTGGGATCAGTGGATGGCTGTAGACAAGTTATCGTAGTAATACACTAGTCTTAGTATTGTTAGGGTGTCTGCAAAAATAAGAACCAATCCAAACAGTGCCATCTGCAAGGAGCTCAAGTTGTGTTTCTTTGAAATGTTCTTTGAGTTTGGGGGAACAAAAAGCAGTCTGAAGGGGCAAGATCAATGCTGTAGAGTGGATGGGGTCCTTGCTACCCTGGAAGAATGAGGAGGTGCATTGTCATCATGGAAAACAATTTCTTGGCGCCACTTGCATAGCCTTTTTCTCACCAATGTAGTTTTCAATTTTCTGAAAACTTCTTAATAAATTCTCAAGATCATTCTGTGTCCTTCAGAAAAATCTATCAAGATTTGCTGTTGTTGTTGTTAAGTGCTGTAGAGTTGGTTCCCACTCAAAGCGACACTGTATAGGATTCCCAAGGAGTGGTTGGTGGATTTGAATCGCCCACCTTGTGGTTAGCAGTCCAGTGCTTATCCTACAGTGCAGGTGGCGATGGTGTGAAGAGGAAGTGTGGAAGTCTGCTGGTTCTATCTGGGCCTGGATAGAAGTGCTGCCAATGAGCATATTACTCAGGAGTATTCAGAAGTATGCAGAACTCAGTCCTGCCTACTTACTTGACCTTTGCGATTAAGATGACCCCTTTGGGAACCCCAAAAGCATAATAATTTAAACTGACCTTTCTGCGTGGAATTTTTAACCAGCCCAACAGAGCCCCACGAAAGCCACTGTCTAGACTGGATCTTTTTTCCTTGGAGACTTCCTAACGAGGCTTGTCTGCAGCAAGTCACAGAGACATGTTTAAAGAGGTTTTATTTGGAATAAGCCCAGGCATGTATGAACTGGATCCCTAGTAACAGTACTTTTGGACTTAACCTGGTTTGGTATTTGTGATCTCTAAGGAAAGGGCATTTCCTTCTATGATAGGGTCAAAGGGCTCCAAACCAGAAGCAGATTTGTCTGAATTCACACAAGCACATGCTGCCTGCAAAACTAAAGCGATCTGGAGATGTGTAGTCTAAGGGGCTCCAAGGTCGAGTTGGTCAACCACCAAACAGAGAACAGCCCTCCCTCTATGCCATACTATGTGCTGGCTGGTGAGAAAGGGTGAATTCTGTGTCCTCCAGGAACTGGATCATGGCTAGATAAGTGGGAGATGAAATATGGTTAAAAACCATGTGGTTTCACTTCAGAAAATACAGTGCCTGACTCAGTAGACAATAAGGTAGATGCTGGAGTACATTCGTGCATACATGGGTAGATGAAAGGATGTGAACTTGAGTCTTGATTTCACTACCTAACTAGTTGGGTGATTTTAGACAAATCACTTAGAGCCTCGGAATTGATTTGTTTCCTTCAAAAATGTGCACAGAAATAATTCCTACTTTGTTCAGTTGTTATGAGGAGTCTTGGTGTGGCGCTGTTGGATCAATACTGGACTGCTAACCACAAGGTCGGCAGTTCAAATCCACCAGCAGCTCCTTGGAAACCCTTTCTACAGGATTGCTATGAGTCAGAACCAGCTCGACAGCACTTAATAACAACAGCAACTGTTACGAAATTCAAATGAGACAACGTGTGAAGGAGTTTTGAAAAACACCATAATGTGCTGTTGTTCGGATTGGATTGCTGGGCAATGCCTGTGTAGCTGTGAGTCAGAGGGACAGAGACCACAGCTCTTGGTACAGGACTCCGTGACTCCGTGGGCTGAGGACCCTGTGATATTGAATATGTGAAAGCATTTCTACCAACTAACCAGCCGGCTAAAAGGAGCTCTGGTAGCGTAGTGGTTACGAATCGGGCTGTGAACCTTAAGGTCAGTGGTTCGAAACTACCAGCTGCTCCGCGGGAGAAAGATGAGGCTTTCTACTCCCGTAAAGATTTACACCCTCGGAAACCCTGTACAGGGTCGCTATGGGTCGGAACCGACTCAACGGCACTTAACAACAACAACCAGTCGGCTAGGATGTGGAGGCTGATGCGAGATGAGGACAGTAGCCATTCAGAGGCATTTTCACATCTCATGTAGGAGGCCAGGGTTCAATACCCAGCCAAGGTGCCCCCTGTGCAGACACAACTCATCTGCCAGTGGAGGCTTTCGTGCTGCTATGATGCTGGGCAGTTTTCAGTGGAGTTTCTAGATTAAGACTAGGAAGAAAGGCCTGAAGAGCTACTTCTGAAAATCAGCCAGTGAAAGCCATATGGATCACAACAGTCTTATCTGCAACCAGTCAGGAGGATGGTGCAGGACTGGGCAACATTTCTGTTCTGCTGTGTGTGGGGTCACCTTGAGTGAGGGCTGACTCAGCGGCAGCTGAGTCCATCAGTGTGAGAGTGGGAGCTCCTTATCTCTGCAGGTGGCGATGGTGTGAAGGGAAAGTGTGGAAGTCTGCTTGGGTAGAAGTGCTGCCAATGAGCATATTACTCAGGAATACTCACAAGGACCCAGAGCTCAGCCCTGTCTACTTGACCTTTCTCATTTTGACTTTTTCTTTAGGATATTTCCCAGAATACTCTTGAGCCCAAATGTTTCCAGAACCTGTGAAGGCAGAGGTTGTCTGGTGAGAACAAGGATTCGCCCTGTGCTTGCTTGCAGGGTAGCTAAGTCCCCGTTCTGAGCCTTACTCTGAGCTGCTTGATTTTCTTGCTTTCACCCTGCACTTTCTGGGTTCTCATGCCCCCTAGTGTTTGTTGTCTTATTTGAGGGAAGTATGTGTGTGTGAGGAGTCCTGGTGTGGCGCTGTGGGTTAATATACTGGACTGCAAAGCCGTTTGAACTGCAGCGTCAGTGGTTCAAGCTCACCAGCTGCTCCTCAGAAACCCTACACAGGGTCGCTATGGGTTGGAGCCAACTTGATGGCACTTAAAAACAACAACAACAACAACAACGATGTGAGTGTGAGGAGTCCTTGTGTGGCATTGTAGGTTAATGTGCTGAACTGCAAAGTTGGTTTGAACAGCAAGATCGGCGGTTCAAGCTCACCAGCTGCTCCTTGGAAACCCTATACAGGGTCGCTATGGGTTGTAAACGACTCAACAGTACTTAACAATAACAACAAAAAATGTATGTGTGAGTTCTGGTGTGAAGCTATATAATGAGCACTGGACTACATACCACAAGGTTAGTGGTTCAAACCTACCAGCTGCTCCTCAGAAACCCTGTACAGGCTCTCTGTGAGTTGGAACCAACTCAACAGCACGTAACAACAACGTGTGTGTAAGGGAGCCACAGGAGGCTTGGTGGCGCAGCATTTAAGTGCTTGGTTGCTAGCCAAAACGTTGGTGGCAGTTTTTCTGATGGAGAAAGAGGTGGAGGGTGGTCTGCTTCCTAGAAAACTATGGGGGTAGTTCTATTCTGCTCTATAGGGTCGCTATGAGTCAGACAGAATTTGGTGGGCGCTTCAGGCATAGACCCTGCCCTTGCTTAGCCCAGCCAGTAGTCATACAGGAAATCCTGCCAGATTCATCATCCTCCCCTTGGCCCCTTGGGCTGCGGCGGCCAGGAAACTAACATCTGGGGTGAGAGTTTCACAGGCCTCTATTTCTGCCTCCTTCCTGCAGAGAACAGCCCCTCTTTGGAAAGCCTTCCCTCCTACTCCCAGTTTGGGGACCCTTTACTTGCTTGACTTCCCTCTGCCTGCTCAGCTCTGTGGGAACCTTTGCCTTCATCTATCTCTTAAGATCCGCTTTCTCAGCATCGCTGCCCTTTCCTCTTCTCTGTGTTCTTTTCCTAGTTTCTGGACTTGGACTTGACATAAAACCATGCTATGTTTACTGAGTAAATGAGTGAAAGAATTACATTCACTCCATAAGGTTTACTTGTCACTTCTATGTATATGATAATACATGTAAATGAGAATGATGATAAGTTAGCATCTAATTGGTCACCTACTGTGTGCCAGGCAATATTCTGGGTATTTTGTTATTCTGTGACCCAGTAAGGGAAATACTTCTATTGGGCTCATTTTATAGATGAGAACTTTGAGGGTCAGAAAGGTTACCTGGCTGTCTCAAGCTCCTGAGCTATGCAGTGGCAGAGCTGGGAGCTCCACAGAGACAGACTAGCTCCAGAGCCACTGATCACCAACACTATGCTACAACTCACCTCTTTGATTGGAAGCCCCATTCTTCCTGGAAAAGAATTTCGCATCTCTAGCCCTGACCCTTTCTCAGTTATCATGCCCCCTGGACATTTCCACAGGGTTGTCTTGCTGGTCCCTCAGGCACAAAGGAACACAAAGCACCCACATTTCTCTTTCAACAGCTCTTCCTTGAGACTTACAGTGGCTCTGCCCCTCTCCAACCATTTGGGTTGAAAGCTCAGCCTCATTCTGTTTCTTGCTCTTGATTTCAAACCACCTGTCACAATGCAGGCTAATGCACTGGACTGCAAGTTCAGTTTGAACCGCAAGGTTGGTGGGTCAAGCTCACTTGCTGCTCCTAGGAAACCCTATACAGAGTCACTATGAGTCAGAACTGACTCGATGATACTTAACAACACAAAAACAACAGGCACTTGTATATTAAGAGCTAAGCTGCTAACCTCAAGGTCAGCAGTTCCAATCTACCAGCTGCTCCGTGGGAGAAAGTTGAGGCTTTCTACTCACAGCCTTGGAAACCACCCAATACAGGGAGACTATGAATGGGAACTGACTCTACGGGGCACATAACCCCCCCACCCCCCACCCCCAACACACCGGGACTTACTTATCCCTTCTCCTTCTTTCCTTCTGGGCACCATTTAGCTTCCACTAAGCGGCGCTGTAGGATAAGCACTGAGTTGCTAACTACACGGTTGGCTGTTCAAACCTACCAACTGCTCCTCAGAAACCTTATGCAGGGTTGCTATGAGTCAGAACTAACTGACTCAATGTCACTTTAACAACAACAACAATGTCTTGTGTGGTGCTGTAGGGTCAGCACTGGACTACTAACCACAGGTTGGCAGTTCAAAACTCACCAGCCGTTCCTTGTTGCTATGAGTCAGCACTGACTCGACAGCATACAACAACAACAAGCCACTTGGGTAGATATCCACAGCCTCTTGGCTTTTCCTGCTCCAGCTCACATCATGTTTGACCGCTCCAAAGCGTTTGCTTCCTTGTCCTGACACTCCAGGTCTTCTAGGATAGTCTCAGCCTCTCTCTTTCTGCCTCATTTCACAGTCATCCCTAGGGACACAGAGATTCTATAGAAATTAAAGCCAAGTTCTGGAGGCATTCCCTCTGCCTGATCCACCCAGCTCTTTAGGCTTTTGTCTGCCAGTCCAAGACCTACGTCAGCCGGCACTTCCTACAGCAGACCTCCCTTGGTTCCCTCTCCTAACCCCTGAAACTGCATGGTGTTCCCACTATCCGTCCTCCAGCCACACAGCCTGTCGTCCAGTTTGATGGTTGGCACGTCAGTCATTGCTATGTCCGTCTGAGGCCTCTTATAAGCCCCACAGCATAAGCAAAGATGGTGGTTTATTAGGCTCTACTAAACATAATAAACAGCCAGTGTTAAATATTACCACTAAAGGGATTTATCAGAACCCAAGTCTGACTTCAAATACTTCTAACTTTGCAGGGGTCATGGGTATTTTTATATTAAATATTTTTTCTCTTATTTAGGAGATCAGTAGTGTAGTGAGTTGTGAGTCGGTCTGCTAACTGCCAGGTCAACAGTTCGAATCTATCAGGTGTTCCATGGAAAAAAGATGAGACTTTCTGCATCCGTAAAGATTTACAGCCCTATACAGTCCTATACAGGGTCGCTATGAGTTGAAACTGACTCGGTGGCACACAACCACCATTTACAAATGGTCCTATTTACATTCTCTATCACCTTAAATTGTCTATGCCAAGGTCACTAAAGACCTGGCTTTAGAAGAAAAAGAAGATTCCAGAGACAGACTCTACCTCTCACTGCACAACCTTGGTCACGTCACCAAATCTTTCTGAGCTTCAGTTTCATTACCTGAAACATGGAGAGAGACAATTGTGCCTACTCGTCAGGTAAATTTAGAGATAATGCACATTCAAGACATTGGACAAGTAGTAAACACTTGCTGTGTGATGGTAGTGGTTATGTGCTGTGGAGTCAGTTCCAACTTGTAGCGACCCTATACAGGGTTTCCGAGGCTGCAAATCTTTATGGGAGCAGAAACCTCATCTTTCTCCCACAGAATAGTTGGTAGTTTTAAATTGCAGACCTTGCGGTTTGCAGCCCAATTCGTAACCACTATGCTACCAGAGCTCCTTCTATGTGGTAGGGATTATGTATTTTTCAATGTATTAGTTCGTATCTTTAAAAGAGAATAATTTGTTTCTCCGATGAATGAAGGTTTAAAAATTATTATTATTAAAAAAAAAAATTGTTTGATTAGTAACTAGGTCTTTGACCCCTGACCTCTCCTCCCTAATGCCTCTGAGGTTGTAAGTGGATTTGATGAGCTCTGGAGGGCTCCATGGGGCCGAGACTTACACAACTGCTGGGTTGGTGCATTTGCCGCTGGTGTAGAAATACTCCTGGATGTGGGCACGGGGCAGTGCTCGGGCGATGTAGGCAAAGCAGCAGGGTGTGGTGTCTGAGGCATCTGGGAGGAAGAAAGAAGGAGACTCCTTTATTTATTGCCAGGACACACTGGCCAATGAGCTGAGTGCTTCATATACTTCTCCTTGAATGAACTATTATGCTCACTAGCCAGAAATAGAAGCCATTTGGCCATAGATACACAGTGACAGAGTGGGGATTCCAGCACAGGACTGGGGATCTCCCTTCTTCTTGGCCAATTCTTGAGCCCAGCTTGTCTTGTATTTGTACACAGCAACCCCACACCCTTGGCTCTCATGGCATGCTAGGCCTCCTCTTGGCTCACTCTGGACCCTCTGTTCTCATTCTTGCTCTCCCAGCATCCAAATGGATTCAGAACATGGTTCCTTTGGAACCTGGAGTGTGTTGAATGGGAGGAGAACATCCAAAAGTCAGGCTCTATGGCCTGGAACCCTTTGGTCAGGTCATAGTGAGAATGGCTCTGAGCAGAAATGTTGGTTAATTAATTTCAGACAACATTGGGAATTGTTAGTTGCCACAGTCCAGCAGACAAGTGGTGTCTAAGTGCCAGATAGAACTGGGTTTAAATACCAGTTGCCCTATTTCCTAGCTGTGTGACCTTGTGCAAGTTACCTAACCTCTCTGGTGCTTTGTTTCCCCATTTGTAAGCCAAGGACAATTACTGAAAGAGACTGTTAAATAAGATAGTACATGTAAAGCAATCAGCACAATACCTGACATAAAACTGAAAAAAATAAATCCATTTCTGCCAAAACGAACTTGATTTTGACTCATAGAGATCCTAGTCTTTCCTAAGTAGATTATCACATCTCTGTCCTGTGGAGTGGCTGGTGGATTTGAACCTCCAACCTTTTGGTTAGCAACTGAGCACTTTAAACACTGTGCTACGAGGGCTCCTTACCTGACATCAAAACACCAAACCCAACCCACTGCCATTGAGTAGATTCCGACTGATAGCAACTCTATAGGACAGAGCAGAACTGCTCCATAGGATTTCTGAGACTGTGCATCGTTCCGGTAGCAGACTGCCTCATCTTTCTCGCAGCGAGTGGCTGGTGGGTTCAAACCACCAACCTTTCAGTTAACACCCCAGCACTTAACCCACTGTATCACCAGGGCTCCTTTACCTGAAACATAGTAGGTACTTAATAATTACTGTTGTTGTTGCTAAGTGCCGTCGAGTCGGGGTCAGACTCATAGCGACCCTAGACAGGGTTTCCAAGGAGTAGCTGGTGATTCGGAGCTGCCGGCCTTAACGGCCCAAACCGATGTTGCAGTTTACCGCATTAACTGGCAGTGCCACACCAGTAGTCCTAATAATCACTAGCTATTTTTATTCTCTCACTGCCTCAGTTTTTCCATCTGTGAAATGGGGAGAACCTGGCTTTTCCAGGAGAGGCTTCAGTGAAGGCTCAGAAGTCTGTTAGAAACTTTTTAGGCATGAGTCAGTTGTGTTTTGAGGTCAGCTTGAGCTGTCCCTGTCTGCTAACAACCCCAGAAACAGTCCACACAGAACAGACCTTGAAGACATTGCAAAGTACCTGTCAGAAGGGGCTTAGAGATCTATTTGGGGTAGGTCTGGGACATCTGGGTAAAACAATACATATGAATGTAACTAACGGGGTTCAGACAGTAAATGCAACAGTCAAGGGAGGAGGGGTAGACTTTATGGGCAGAGGGTCCTGCTCGGGGGGCTGTAGTGGCGAGGACCTGGACTTACATGGAGAGGCAGTTGCAGGGATGCAGAGGGTAACGGCGGCAAGGACAGTGAGGGCAGCTGCGGAGATCTTCATAGTGCCTGTGGGCAGAGGCTGGGCAGGCAGCACGTACTGTCTCAGAATCCTCTGTGAGCCTTTTATAGGTAGTCAGAGCCAGTTGTGGGGGGAGCCCCAAGGGGAGTTTCCGACGCAGTAGCCAAAGATTAGCTGATACCATAAATGAAATTACACAAAATGGCAAACAAAACAAAACTAACATAGCCCCCAGAAATTTCAGTTTTCCTCTGCCCCTGATCCCCCGCCCACCCAGGGTGAGCTCACCAGTTGCCCTTTTCCCAAAGAAGCCAGTCCAAGCACTGAGGGTAGAAAACCACTGTCTTGGCTGGCATCCTGCTTCACTTTCTAGAGAGCAGAAAGCTGTCTTCCTCAGTCAAGAGCAGGGCAGGGAGGACAGGATCAGAAAACACTGACCGGGTGTTCGTTATTTCCAAAGTTCTTGCTCATGCCTTACACCTCTGCATTCCAGGCCACCTTCCCATCCGTGGAAAATGCTACGTACAGGGTATTTTATTGAGAATAATACGTTCTCAAAGGATGTGCTTCCCAACTGGGCATTGGGGATCTTGGCATCAGATAAGAGTTGGAGTGATTTCTCTTGGGGTAGTTTCTTGAGCACATTTGCTTGCTGAGTGAACTTTAGGAACATTGTTTAGCGTCTCAGCACTTCCAGTTCCCTGTGTATAAAGTGAGATCATTGATTATAGGTTTGTGAGGCAGAGAGAGTGTGAATGTACATAATAATGTCATTGCTAGCTACTATTTACTGGGGGCTTCCTCTGTGCCAGGCACTGTTCTAGGGGCTTTGCATGTGTTCGTTCGGTTAATCCTCAAAACAACCCAAAGAGGCAGGTACTGTTTCTAGCTGCCTGTCTTTCTTCTGTTATTGTTGTTGTTAAGTGTCTGAGAGTTGGTTCTGACCCATAGTGACCCTGTATAGGGTTTCTGAAGAGTGACTGGTGAGCTTAAACTGCCGACCTTGTGGTTCAAACCAACTTTGCAGTCCCGTGTATAAAGCCACAGTGCCACACCAGGACTCTTTCTTCTGTAAAAGGAAGCTCAATTGTTTCCATTTGGTCCATGGCTTGGGAGAAAAGAGGCTCCAGGGTGGTGGTGATGCTGCCTCTGTGCCTGGAGGGTGAGGTTCAGGCAGAAGGTCTGAGGAGGGCAGGGGAAGGCTGAATGCCCCTCACAGGTGCTTGAGGAGTCCCTGGATCTTTTCCATCCAAACACTGTTGAAGCAAGAGACAGATCCACAGGATCATGGGGCAAGTTTTGCAGGCACTATTCTCTATTACCCCATTCCTGGTGGGGCGCTGCAGGTTAATGCACTGGACTGCAAAGTTGGTTTGAACCATAAGGTCGGTAGTTCAACTTTAGCAGTTGCTCCTCGACAACCTATGCAGGGTCACTATGGGTCAGAACTGACTCAATTGAACTTAACAACAACAACAACAACAATGCTACAGATAAAGAAACTCAGTAAATGCTGGGATCCCCAGTCCAGGTCTCCTTGGACACAAAAATGATAGAATATGAAATCTGCAAAGGACTTTATTATTATTTTGGTTCAGTGTCATGGAGTCTGTTCTGACTTACAGTGACTTCATAGGGCTTCCGAGGAACTGCTGGTGGGTCTGAACCACTGACCTTGTGGTTAACAGTCCAATGCTTATTTTACAACGCCACACTAGGACTCCCACAAGGACCTTGGGGATCATTTATCGCATGTTTTTCAGTTACAGAGGAAGAAGCCAAGCTCAGAGAGCCTAAGTGACTTGCCTAAGAGTACACAGCAAGTGAGTGACAGAGTTGGGATCAGAACCTGGTCCTCTGGCTGCCACTTTCGTGTTCTGTTCTCTAGGAACTGCTTGCCATGAAAAGGGACATGGTGGGAGACACCCATAGGATGGTCTTGATTGGAGTTCCGGTCCTTACTCCATTCCAGAGGATTGGTTACAGTAAATCTTCACCCATTCCTATTTGGAGAATTTAGGATTAGTGATAACTTGGCCTGGCCTAGGCTGAAGTTGACTGCTAAGAGAAGTTGACTTCTAGTATAAGCTGACAGAAAAATGTTATTGACAATTTAAAAAAAAATGCTTTTAAAGGTATCCTATATTGGGAACCTAACCAAGGTGGGGTTTTCTCGCAAACTATTTTTTTTTCTTGCAGTGGCTTATCCAATAAATCGACAAACATTGTTGTTAAGTACCGTGGAGTCGGTTCCGACCCATAGCGACCCTGTACAGGGTTTCCAAGGCTGTAAATCTTTACGGGAGCAGAAAGCCTCATCTTTCTCCCTTGGAAGAGCTGGTAGTTTCGAACTGCTGACCTTGCGGTTCGCAGCCCAATTCATAACCACTATACCACGCATAAAAGAAGCTTTATTATATATTTCCTCTGAGTTTTATTAGTTTTCTCACTTACTGTTACTATTTCCTTTTTTGCTGCTTTCTGAAAGTTAAACTTGCCTTTCTTTTCCTAGATTAAGTTTAGTTTTCAGATTTCTGTGTATTTCATCACTTATAAACATTTAAGCTATACATTTCCCTATGAGAACTGCTTTGTCCATATCTCACAAATTTTGAAAAGCTGTTATAGAATTCATTTATTCTCGCATATTTCCTACTTTCTTTTCTGATTTCTTCTTTGACATCTCATGGATTACTTAGACATGTGTTGCTTCACTTCCAAAAGTTGGAGTCATTTTTCAATCTTATTGATTTGTCAGTTAAGAAGTTTGTGGCCAGAGGATATATTCTGTCCGATTCCAATCCTGTCAAATGTATTGAGACTGGTTTTATGGCCTAACATATGATCTATTTAATGAATTTTCTTTGTGTAATTAACAGGAATAAATGAATTCTGTGGTTATTGAATGTAGTCAACATATAAATCAGTTATAAAAGTCCACTAGGTCAAGATGGTTGAAGGCATTTAGAGCTTTGATTTCCTTACTGATGTTTGTTTGCATGAAACTAGAGAGATGTTTTTCTGCTTTCTATCCACCTTTCCAAGTTCCAACATCACCATCATGAACTCAGCAAAAGTTCTGGGAGGAGAATCACCTGGCAAAGAAGCTAGTTTTACATTTGAAGTCTCTATAGAGCCAATCCATCACACAAGCACACAGACCACATAAAACTGCTGGTTTCTCATTAGCTCATCAACATCTCTATTTCTATATTGGTTTCAGCTGTCCTTTGCCCTCTTGCAAACTATTATCACATGTGTAACTTGGTGGCTAAGGTAATACTGAATCATCCAGAGTGGGAAGACCTTGTCTCATTTCTTCCTTACAGTGACCCTGAAACCAGGGTGGGGATCACCCTCTTTTTACAGAACAGGAAATAAGCCTCAAAAGAGGTCATTACTATTTATGTCCTCCAGGTCACACAGGAGTCCTGGTGTGGTGCTGTGGGTTAATGCGCTGGGCTGCAAAGTTGGTTTGAGCCACAAGTTCGGCAGTTCAAGCTCACCGGCCGCTCCTTGGAAACCTTACACAGGGTCATTATGGGTCAGAACCAACTTGATGGCACTTAACAACAACAATAGGTCACAACTGATAAGTGGGATTTGAACCCAGATGTTTCTGATGAGCAGGCTCAATCTCTTTCCACTGATCCACATCAATACGGCAGCTCATAGCTCCTGAGCCCTTCCCTGGTTCTGGTGCTGTTTCTAAGGTCTTCATTAGAATCCTCTCGTTCTGTACCATGGAAGACACATAGATCAACGGGACAGAATTGAGAACCAGAAGTAAATGCATTCACCCAGGCTCAGCTGATCTTTGACAAAGGACCAAAACACATTGAATGGGGAAGAGATGTCTCTTCAACAAATGGTGCTGGCAAAATTGGAAGTCCATTTGCAGAAGAATGAAACAAGACCCCTATTTCACACCATATGGACTCTGATACACAGCAGTAGAAACACTGTCAAACATAGTGAAAGCAACGGAAGACACGATAGAGGACTTGAACCTCCTGAAAGGTAGACACTACGTGCATCAAAAGATTTCACTAACGAAGAGTAAAAAGAGAAGCTACAAACTGGGGGAAATTTTTGACAATGACATCAGACAAGGAACTAATATCTAAAATTTATAGAACAATTCACCTTAATAAGAAGACAAATAATCTAATTTAAAATGGGCAGAGGACATGAATAGACACATCACCAAAGACATTCAGGCTGCCAACAAACATGAAAAAATGCCAATGATCACCAGCTATTTGTTGTTGTTGTTAAGTACCATGTAGTTGATTCTGACTCATAGTGACCCTGCACATGGTTTCCGAGGCTGTAAATCTTTACAGGAGCAGAAATCCTCATTTTTCTCCTGCAGAACGGCTGATGGTTTCGAACTGCTGACCTTGCAGTTCTTAGCCCGATTCGTAACCACTATGCTACCAGAGCTCCTTAGAGAGATGTAAATCAAATCAACAATGAGATGTCATCTTACCTCAGCATTAATAGCAAAGTTAAAACAAACAAACGAACAAACCCAGAAAACAACAAATGCTGAAGAGAGCATGGAGAGTTTGGGGTTCTCCTACACTGTTGGTGGGACTGTAAAATGGTGCCAACACTCTGGAAAAGACATGGCATTTTCTCAGAAGGTTGGAAATAGAAATACCATTTGACCTAGCAATCTCTCTACTTGGTATATATCCTCAATAAATAAGAACCGTGACACGAATAGATATTTGCACACCCATATTCATTGCAACATTATTCACAATAGCAAAAAGATGGAGGCAGCCTAGATGCCCATCAGCTGAGGAGTGAATGATTGGGCAAACTTTGGTACATCCACACAATGGGATATTATGCAACATTAAAGAATAATGAATCTGAAAAAACATCACGTAACATGGAGGAACCTGGAGGACATTAAGCTGAGTGAAATTAGATATTGTATAACCACTATTCTGTAAGTCAAGAAAAGGTTTTCATTGTATAATAAACATTCAGTGATGGGTACCAGGGGTGGGAGGGAAGGGAGAATTATT